AGCGTATCTTTATTTTTCTTTAAAAATTTATCAACGTCTTCGAGGTAGTGGAGACAATTTGCACGCTACGATAAAAATTCTAAATATTCAATAAAAGACGATGATTGTCATCCTCCGAGTAGTTGCGCGAGAACTCGCATTATTTTGCAGCTGTTATTAAAATTATTAACTTTCTACGTTCGACTAACACCATCCGGCCGTTGCATACGAAGGTCTTTCCAGACTTAAGAAAGGGCCATCTTAATTAATAAGGCACATAAAAATTGCTATATGCCTAGCTTCAAAATAAATTCTTGACGCTGCCGAGATTTGTATATTTTGATCTAGTGCAATCAATAGGAAAACGCGCAGAGTTAGCTCCGCCCGTTGTCAATCAATATCGTAACCATGATATGGACCAAAAACTGTAGAAGTATCTCTGTGCATACGCTTATCCTTCACAGGTTAATAAACAAAAGAGTGACGCAGATAAATTTAAAGCTCTTATCTATTACTAGGCACACCTGACCATTTAATCCTAGTGATCACTGATGCAGACCGGATGTTTAGTAAGCTTATACAGGTTTCGTAGAAGCCGTTTAACACATCCTAGACGATAAGATGGTTATCTTTAAATATAAAATATACGCCATAAATATATTGTATAGTAATGTCATGGAGAGAAATTTGCATATTGAACTTGTTCCGTGCGTGCGGAATCTGATGCTTTATTTCGATCATATTAGACACAAACGGTACATAAAGAACAATGGGTAGCTTTGACCTCACGTGTCCTGGTTTAAGCGATAATGTAATATGTCAATCTTTACCGCATAATGCCGTGGAAGTTAAAATCGCTAAATTATGAAATAATATAATCCGATTTCTTGATAGATCGCGTGGCGCGTTTTTGAATGTAGTAAGCCAGCTTCACGACACCAACGTAAAGTTACATTACCTTAAATTAATGGAAGAGGTTGGCAACGATGACCTCTTGACATATCACATAAATACAAGTAGTACCTCAATTTCAGGCATCCTATCGAGCACACTTTGATATATCGATGAGCTGCTTAGTCCCTGTATACTCTCAGCATACTGATGCCGACCGTATAACATATTCTGCGACGCGTATGCTGTTTTTTTGCCTATGCCACTCAGTAGCTGTCGACATGACCGTTTTGATTCGAGCTTAACAAGCATATTTACCTTTTAAGTGAAAAAATCGGAACGAGCAGATCAAGTGTAAGCTCTTACACTTTTTGTCGTTGCCTAAGACCTTTATTAAGTTAAAAAATTCCGGATTTCCTATTAGCTTGGATTGTAAGAGCTTTATCATTAAGCATATTGTAGTTTGAAATAAGCAAATCGACGAATGGTGTACATATTGTGCTGAAAAAGGGCTTTCCTTGTACCCGGACGAGATACGAAGTTCGGATGGGTAGATCATGACAATCGGATCCGATGTAAGAGGGGATCCGATCCAAATGGGATCTTATCCAAGCCAAATCAGATCAAAGAGGCGATCCGATCGAAGAACAGATTATGACCTGAGCCAGGAGTACGGGGATAATCAAGGAGCCAACGATTTACAAGAGACCGAGTGATTTATTGGATGAGACGTGGCGAGTGTCTTTTGGCATAGATAGGCTAGGTTGTAGTTTTTGTGAGATGGTTGGCTAACGTTAAACAGAGTTCAATTTACTATAAAAGACACGCGTTATCTCTTCTGGGATGTATATTTAGCCTCCCGACGAAACGAAAAGGTGCGCCGTTTTTCTACATAAGTGTCGTACTTGGATTTTTTGGTCCGGTGCAGTCAGGCCTTTCACAAACATCAAGACAACTACAATAGAGCGCATCGAAAAAGCAAGGGTGATCAAGATCGAAAGACGGCTCAAGTGGTCAGAAAGTCAAGCAGATCAGGATCTACGTATTGGACAAGGCGATATCGTTGGAATCTAGGTGGCTCATGCCAAATACTTCCAAGTGACCTGCGATCGTGTGAAGATTTCCACGCGATCACCCTCGTACCAGACACATTCAAGACTAGCGTCGACAAGAGTCCATCAAGAAGAGTGCAGCCCGCCCTATCGACGAGTGCACAAGGTGAAGACGGTTATTACTCGAAAACGAAGTACCCCGTCCGATAGTCGGTCGTCTGGGCGCCAGTGGAAACGCGGGATCAAACCTGTATTTTGTGAACACTGCTCCGCCACAACAGTCGTCAACACAATACGTTTGTATTGGTTCATGCAGAATGATAAAGTAGCATTGATTTAAATATCACAGCGTAGACGTGAGGTTCATTTATAGGGCATTGTAATTGCTACGGTTAAATTTACTTTTTACAATATTTGATTGTAAAATGACTGGATGTTCGTACGAAATGATCTAAATAGCTTCGTTGTATTAAGCAAATCATCCTACGCCGGTCGCATTATCCTTTTATTAAAAACGCATGTTTTTTATACAAGCCAAATATTTTCGAAATAATGAGAAAGTGTAACTCCGATCATGTTAATCTTGCTTGTGCAAAATCACCATATTAAATATCAAATTCTATATATGCTTAGTTTTATATACATAGTTTTTAAAATAAATATATATGTACAATATCATAGCCTTTGCTTACCACTTAAGTTTGTATCTCGTATATTCGTATACATACATAATATATTGTGCTGTAATCATCAAAATTAAATTGCACCATAGATGTATAAAGTGTAGTATTTATATTTGTTATAATAATACAAGTTGGTATGGAATCCGGAATGGCAAAGGTTCTTGACAGGTTTATATATACTCATCATTCGAATTGTTTATCTAGATCCTTGCCGTCATTATGTTGATACAAATGAATGCTCTGCACAATAAACCAAATGACAATAAATAAGCTCATAACTGTCCGCACCAATTTAGCTATAATGTTTTATGGCTGAAGGTTTTAGTCGAAGCTCATTATTACATGAATTAAAAAATAGTGATTTTACAAACAAAACCGACATTAATGGAGTTGATTTTTTTGTATAAAAAAGCTGAGCGAATTTTTCTAATTTATTTGTGAAATCTTTTCAAACGCGGATACAAGTCCAAGAATGAACGACATGATGTGGTCGCTTCTATTGAAAAACCGAAACTACAAAAGGATAAACCTTACCCGGAAAATAATCTTCATATTAGCTACTGCAGCAAATCGCTATTAAACCCTTTATATATAAATGTTTCTTGCTTCTCGCTGGTCATAGTATCTAACAACGACCTCTGCAAAAGAAAGGGAGGATCCGGTTATCGTTTATTTTTGGACGACTAATATCTCGGACATTGTACCTGCCAGGCAGATATATAGTATGTACGGACGTTTTCACGCTCTACAATGTATATAGATAAATAATGCAGTACAATTTTTGCGCCGAGCGAAATATTTCTCGTAAAAATTTAAATAAATTATATAAGGAGTTAAATCGCGAAACGAAAAATAAATTAATATCAATTTTTCGATACCAACTATTCTGCTTGTATTTGCGACATATTGATCGCGCAAAAAAAATTATAAATATCTTTTGATCCGCTTAAGCCGTTTTGTAGTGCTTTTCTCCATATTAACTATGATTGATTGAAGACTATCATAATACAGCAAATTAATTGTTTCTGATTAGTAGAATCTAAAATTTGACATTATATATTAAAGAAATATTGCTTTTTAAAAAAACAAATTTAATATGTCATACCAAAAAAAACTTAGGAATGTTTTTAAAATAATCAACTCAAAAATATGTCTTGAATATTTAAGCAAGTCTCGGACCGATTTTTTTTGAGATTATTATGAAAATATTGCTGCTATGTTAAGATGTGTGTATATAGCTGTATTAATGTGACTTACGGTTAACTTGAAATAGAATCGAATAAATACTTATTTTGTACAAACTAATAGGAATACAAAACTTTAGCTTTTTACTGCTAAATTACTCGATTTTTGCCTCGTCGGACCTGCAATTCGGCGCAATCCGTAATCTGTTTCGAATATTTATACTTTTGATCTTTAGATTGTGGTATTGCTAGATTTTTGTAAATGATTTTTTTCCAGCACTTAGTAAGTGAGCTTCGAAAGTTGTCCTTGAATGTTTTGCAATAGCTTTTATTTACGTATTTTGTATCTCATGTGTATGCGCAACATAGCCACCTCTTTAGATATACTACGTGATTAGTGTTGTATCCGAATTTTTTTTACAATCCACCTGATGAGTAGAAGTGGTGCTAGATATCCGATGGTCGATTAGTATCTGAAGCGTGATATTAACAGTCGTAGAAAATTTAAGTCGATAGTCTACGGCCGCGCTAGCTCGAAGCTTGAAGTAGCCTCGTACTTCCCCCCTTTCGTCCGTTGGTAGTCGTTCTACACCATTACATTGATAGAATGTTGATATTATTACCTTTATGTAATGCTGCTCTTACTAACGACCATGCTTGACGAAGAATATGTAGCGTCGGAAGAATGTAGGGGGTGAGAACGTGTCGCAACTTCAAGTATTGCGTTCAAGAGCAACCCACAATCAAACAGACAAATTAAAAATTACCAGCATGATTGAATGTTTTGTCAGAACCAACGACCATTTTAAATCGCGCTTAGCTTAGCTATTACGGACTTTGCACGAACATGTAATATTCACACTTATCGGAGCTAGCATGTCACCCCTAATAAAAAGGTGATTAAATTTATATAGCTGCAACAACTGTTTTGGTAATGTGCTATTAATGGTTACAGAACTTGGTCACACTTATCAGTTTATACAGGAAAAGCGGTTTCATGATTCCAAGTCCGCCACTGTCTCAGGATTTCTATGGGTCGCTTTGCATGGCGCAGATGGCCAAAATGGATCGCCTTACACAAAAATTTATTCATCATTTACCATTACACTGTATACGTGTATACTCTCTTATATCGAATCAAACCTCAGCCCACATTGCACTCGTAGCTATTTAAAGCCTGGCCGTCCACCACCTGCCCGTCTGTCATCCTCATGCCTGGCTCGCACTCGCACCGTCAGCTAGGCATCGTATCCGTGGCGCTCATCACGTACTTTAATGTCAGCGGTGGACCGTGGGGCAGTGAACCCGTGCTGGCAGCTTGCGGACCTTTCGTCGGCATCTTCGCGGTCATCCTCTTTCCGTGGATCTGGTGTCTACCTCTGGCCTTGACATTCGCTGAGCTCTTTACCGCATTCCCAACGGACGGAAGTTTCTGCAAATGGGTCGGCGTGGCGTTTGGCAGACCGATGGGTTTCCAAGTGGGCTTCTGGTCCTGGACATCTGGGGTCATTGACAACGCCATTTACCCCTGTCTTATTGTCGACACGCTCTTCGCGTTGTCCGCAGGCGAACATAGTGCACTTGATGATGACAATACCGTGTCCTGGCGCGTATTTATTCTACGGGCACTAATTGCCACAGTTTTTATGCTGCCGACATTGAGCAGTATTAAAGTCGTCGGCCACGCACTGTTGGTCATGGGGATCCTGATTTTCCTGCCATTTGCTGTGCTCGTCGTTTATGCCGTGCCATTTATTCGTCCTGCCAATTGGTTTGTTGTTCGCAAAGATGTACGTAAATGTATCATTATGCACTTCATGACGCTGATAAAAGCAGTATCAATTGCGATTTGTCTGACCATCTCCAATTACTTCTGTGTTTCGAAATCTATATGGCATGCAGAAAGAATGGGGGCGGCTGCTCAGCTCATTGTACTGGAACTACAGTGGCTTTGACGCAGCGGGGGCGTATGCAGGCGAAATCCAGTCGCCAAAAACGACGTATCCAAAAGCAATGGTGCTGACAGTTGTGATGATTGCATTTACGTAAGTGCACCAGCAGTTGCCGTTTTCGTGGGTATGTAGAGCTGAGGACGTAATAAGGTCGTAATTTCTGTACTAACTTGCTTCTGTGTGTTAGGTATATCATCCCGTTTATCGCCATATCTGGGGCAGATATGCCACATTATACGACGTGGGACGACGGATCGTACTCGGTCATTGCGCAAAGGATTGGCGGAACGTGGCTCTGCATTTGGGTGCTCATTTCATCTGTCGTTGGAAACCTTGGTCTTTATCTCGCGGAAATGACCAAGGACGGGTTCCAACTTGCTGGTATGGCCGACTCAGGTCTGGCACCACCGTACTTTGCCCAGTACGTTGATCTTGCTATTTTCGGAAACGATATTTGATGACGAAACGATGTAACAATGATGTTGATTGATTGCCGTCAGACGTCACCCTGATACCGGCGTGCCCCGTCGAGCCATCCTATTGGCATTCTTTGTCATCCTGCTCATGGGCATGTTCGACTTCGACACAATTTTGGGCGTCGACAACTTCTTGTCGGCACTGTCGTCTCTCGTCGAGATGAGTGCAGCTGTGCGTATGCGGTTCTCGCATCCTGAGATCGATCGACCGTACCGCGTGAACTTGTCTGATCGCTCACTGGTGGCGGCCATGGTACTGCCGTTCACGCTGGGAGTATTTATCATGATGAACGAATTGACCAAGTCCTGGAGCAGTTTCTCGCTCAATGTAGTCGCGCTCCTCATCGGCTACCTCGCTCAGAAGTTTGTCGAGCGGCATCCGTACCACGAGTACTCGAAGGTTCTTGAATCTTCACTCACCTGATGGCTTGCTTCCTGACGGGGGGAGCAGTAGCGTAATAGAGTGTTTACTTTGCCACAGCTGCGGTGTTGCTGCTGCCGCGCCATCTACTGGTTAGAGTTGACACATGAATGGGCTTGACTATGTTTGCTCCTTCGTAGATTGCAGCTCAAAGTTTTGCCAAGGTCATGAAAGCTGGTGCGCTGTTTTATTGAGACTGTTCGATCCATTTCAGACGTTCGACAACTTAAGCGACAAACTCAATTTCAGGCCCTGCCAATGATAAACCTCCGAAGGACGTAAGCGAGTAGGCTTGGAAATTAGTAGTGGGTCTCCCGTATCATTGCAACTAATCTGGAACTAGCGATGATCCACAACTCCTCCAGCACCTGTGTCGTAGCGCAGACTGTACGTTCATCCGGCGCTTCTGTGTATTTTTACTACCGGACGAGTGCTTGACGACACCTCCGATGATGGGATGCTACATTGCTGCTCGGGTCGTGCTGTACCGTGCTGTTGCCGCAGAGAGTATCGAAATGGGGCGCTTTATCTTCGGCATTGCCCTACGGTGTGCTGATTCGTGTGGAAGCTTGACTTTGCGCATCCAAGCAAAGTAAAAGTGGACTTGGTCTCCACAGAGCATCGTAAACGGGGCCGATAAATGGGGCTTTGTGAGCCCATAGTTCAGCAAGGTATCAATGGTCAACGTGTGATGGACCCCTCCTCAAGCACTGAGCCATTTTCCCGCCTAACAATATTGACATACGAAACGCCCGCTACCTCTCGCACATTACTATTCATCCAGTTGATACAAATTGTGCCGTGTGAATCCAGAAATCCGGACATAGGACTACGTAACTCTTGTCACATCGCGTCGAGGTTGATACACTTGCGATCGTTATGACACACTCTATATGCATCGCACTTGTGGTCATAATGATTACGCTGGGATCTTTACTGCTTGTAATAATTGTGATCTATGGTCAAGATTCACTTATTCTGCCGTAACGGTACGTCGATGTATTTGGCATAGCAGAAGACGTGATATTGTGCGATACGAATATATTTCTCGGTGCTTTCGCACGAACTGTCCTTGTTTTACTTTTATGCTATTTAAACTTTCGGTCCAGCGTAATCCACCTACGTGCTACCATACATACAGTCGTCCCTCCATATAGCGAACCAAATTGAGTGGCGTTTTTGCCTCAGTCCTTATATAAAACGCTCTTAAATGGAGGGTCAATCTGAACCCATTCTAAGAAATGCATCAATGGTACACTGAGTCTTTCGCATTGAGCACTGCTGTCTAACGTGCTCGGTGATACTTTCCACCTTCTTCGTCAATTCTTCACTGTCATGATGTAGCCAAAGAAATGATGACAGACGGAGACAACTGTCTAGAGCCTCGGATGGCCCAATCGTCACCTCATCGGCACTGTCACCATCATTGTCGTGCTCAATCGAATCATGCTCGATCACGTTTGAGTCGCACTCGATCGGCTCGTCGTTATCTACACCGATGTAATCGACGACACTGACGCTGCAAGCCAAACTTTTCATGAGCTTGGTCAGCTCGCCCTCAACATATTCATCGATGCGTTTGTTGAAGTCGCGTAGTTGTGTGCGATCGGCCATCGTTACCTCCCACACGACAGGACATTTTCTCCAGCAGTTGCGAATCACTTGCTCGGGTACCTCCTCCCAGCTTGATATGGCGAAGCGCACAGCCTCCAGGATGTTCAACTTTCGGTCGGTTCTGGTGTGGATCGCATCCAGGAGCCATCGAAAAAAATTTCTTCTGATACCACGCTTTGAATGCCCGTATAATTTCTATCATAAAAACACGTGCGAAAATGCTGGTCAAGAGAACATCCATTCAAACTTACCTGCGTCGAGAGGTTGCAAGTGCGCTGTCATATATGGCGGCAGGAATGCCAGCTTGAAATGGTAGCATTCAGCGGCGCCATAGTGACACGACGCTTTATCCAGCAGAAGAAGCACTCGCCTCCCGTGCATCTTGGCATCGAAGAGACGAATCCCCTCAGCAAACGTTGACCTTTTTTATCACGCAGTCTGGTTGATGACGTACAAAAAGTTCATTTGCTTGGTGTTGGCGTTGCGAAATGCTCGTGGTTGCTTCGACTTGCCTCTGGCAGCGAGATCCACCTTATCGGCCCCGGTTATGTTGCAGCACATTGCGACTGTGATATGATCCTTCTCTTACTTCTTTCCGTTGCGCTTGACCGTTGCCAGTGTCTTGTTCGGCGGTAGGCGATAGAAAAAAGCTGATTCGTCAAAATTGAATACACTAAGTGGTGAATATTGTCGAATCAGCTTTTAAGCTCCATTAGATTCACTGCGGGTTGATCGCGATCAACTGAGTCTGCCTCGCCGTGAAGCATATGCTGCTGGATGCCATGTCGAGTCTTAAATTTGTGCAGCCACCCATTCTAAAGCCGCTGGTCTTTCTCGCTTATCCCTTGAGAGGCTCGGATTGAGCGACCTTCTTCTAGTAGCAGATCGTCCGTGAGTTTAAATTTGCCGTCATTGAGACGATAAAATACGAAGAACTCAGTCTCAAACCCTAAAAAATCGCCTTTCGATTACGCTTCCTGCCCGTGGCAAGGAACGCGTTGGCTGGTGCCTAAGGAAATTGTTCTGCTGCCGTTGTGGAGATCCGAAGTCCGAGTTTCTCCCTGACCCAGTATTATATTTGGAATAGTTGTATATCTGGTGTGCGTGTAATCTGCACCTGCACCTGACGCTTTTGCTCCATCGTTAGATTCGTTCGTTTTTACGACATGTTTAGGATAGAACGGAAGAAAATGTGCAAAGTGGCAGGCAATGGGAGAATGTGGCAAGTCCAATACAGAATTAAACTGGTGGTTGGTGCGCGATGTTTTAGTACCCTATTTCATAAGGCTCTATATAGAGCGAGGATACAAAACCCAAGTGACGCAGCTTGGTGCGGGACAAGATGTTCCTTAAGCAGAAATTTAATCCTCTATAAAGGTTCTTATATGGAGGGACACCTGTACTAGGCCTATCACGCGAGTTAAGCATTTAATGCGAATTGAATCAATTAAGACAATCGGACGTCATATATGCACCGGTAGTCAACAAAAGTTTTGCAGCGCCACTACACAATTAGTCGAAACAATTGGGCAGCCAAATATGCCCCGCTAGCAGGGAAAATTGCAGTGCCATACGCTTTGTTTGTATCCAAGTTTTTGTCGTACTACGGCATACCTACGTCATTTACACAACATGATTATGTGTTGCTTTGGTCAGAGTACACTTACATGGAGCAATCACAACGCCAGCATATGAAAAACAGCGATTATGCTGAAGCATATCGTGAGGCCTGTGATTTTCTACACAGCCTGCGCGTGCGCTTTGTGACTCAACACTCAAAACAGAAGTTGGACCACTACAGCTGTACCGCACACAGGAATGCAGCGTGCAGAGTAGCAGTATGAGAAGCATCGTAAATTTGCAGCAGCTTTTTGATTTTACAAAAATATGATTTACAGTCTTTGTGCCCTTGGCCCGTCGAGATATCGTTTCCCGCATCATCTTGCTCGCAAGAAAAGGACGCTGTCAGAAACACGAGAACATGGCATGGCCTTGTGGACAAACACGGTCTTTATGCACCAGTGTGCGCATTATACACCACTAAATGTTGTTGGATCTCATCGCTTCTGCGCGTCAAATCAATATACATCCTGTTTATATTCGACAAGAATCGTTGACGTCACTTTCAGAGGCGGTATACGATCCTGTCAGCTACAACATGGTGCCTAAAAACATACTTTCAAGCAGTATACTATTGTTGGTTTGAGTTGAGTGCTGGTACAAAAAGCAATATGCTAGCTAAAAAACGAGTGAAATCGCTAAGTTGTAGGTATAATGTCAGGTGAATGACGATATCAGTGATCTCTTCCTTTTAAGCAACTATGATACGTGTAATGTATGGCGATGGAAACATAGACAATCGCGTACCAATCATTCGAGTTAAAGCGAACGACACAGACGAATCGATGTCGATTGCAAAACAAACGATAACATAAAGATATACACACGCGAGTTGTCGCGCGTGTATATCCTTATGTTATCGTTTGATTTGACTTCGACAGCTATTCGTCTCTGGCAATCTCGCAATTTACAATAATCTTTGTATGTGTCATCATCTAGTAGTCATAAACATACTTGGGTGTAGACAGAGCTTATATTCTACCTTTTATCCTAGCAGGAATTCAATTAGCAAGTCGCGAAATCCTGTAAAGTGCTAAGATCTATGCTTCAAATATTATCTGTGTAATTTATAGCCAGAGTAAGCCAATGACATAACATAACATGCATTTGCTTGTCAATGCAAATGATGGTTATTACAATGATTGCTACGGAAACTTAAGATACCGGATAACACTGTAGTCAATCTTGCAATTACTACGTGCGCTGTCGTGAATGAGAAAGCGCATTTTACTACTTGATGCGACGCTAAATTGAAGGAAAAAAAAGACTATTTTGTGTAGTGAAACACCTTTGCAATAGGTACTGTTCATATCCATTAAATTTCTGTGTGTTTATACATATAATAAATAGACCTTGTCACCTCTCGTTAAACGTTTGTACCTACTACTGAATCTGAGGTATTTATCATGGCACGTATCAGGAAATGTCGCGTGTTTTTCCACAGCTGATAAACCTTAGATGCAACAATAATATTATCTATAATAATAAGGAATGGTGTAGAATTGTGACTATCATTGACTACTATTATATACCAGTGTCGTATAACGGTATTGATTCGTTGCATTACAGGCATTGTATCCTATACTCAGTAATATACTGTATATTTGTCCAAAAAATTAGCTTACTAAGTTAGAGTTATACTTACAAAGATAAGAGCTTAAATATGGCCTGATTTATTGCGATATTAGTATACGAAAATTGAAGCGAGACTGCTGCGACCCTCCGTATTATACTACACAATATACTGCCACTTTCGTTCCGGATCGGTG